AATGTGCGCTAAAAATTGACTCATATTGTGCAACAACGTAACAATAGCGATCTTTGTTTTTCAATATGTGAAATATTGAAATCAAATATACCGAACAAAGTTAAATGACACACATTTAGATAACTGTTTGCGGACAGGGAACTCTAGTTATATTCCCGATTATAAAAAAATAGCTGAAAATACGGACACACAAGTTTCACACTAAATTTATATGTTTATATTAGGTATTATTAAATCATACTCTTCTTTTTCGATGTACTGAATGTTAGTAATGTATATATTATATCATAATTTTCCGAATTTGCTGCAGCGACTACTCAAAAACAAATGATCCGACCAATATCAATTTTCTTTACATGTTCTATATTTAGTTCTCCATAAAATGAACTATCGATGTTTTGATCGGATCAAAAATCGAATTTTGGCAGTCCAAAATTTTGGGTAAAATTCGACTTTTTTTTAAAAACGCCGCCATTTTGTCAAACTTTGATTTATTTTCTTTATCGTAGTTCATTTTACAGACAATATTATCTAGTTTAACAAGAATTATTTTTTAAATTTCATCTATGTAGAAAGCCGGAATCACTGCAGCAGTGAAGGGCCTTTTTTTGTCGCGCCGTTGGAGATCGACGATAACTTAAAAATATTAATTTTTTTCTTCAAAAATTTTACTATGTATTCTTAAAACATGTATAAGTATATTCCTAAAATTTTGAAATGATTGATAAAGTAGTTTTTGTAATATAAATTCCCAAAAATCACGTTTTTTTTAGGCGGTTACACTAGTTGTGCCCCTTAAAATTTGCATCATCAAGTATTAATTTGTGTATTTCTTAGTCTGGTGCATCTGCAAATACACCAGCGACCTGGTGGGATCCAGTGACCTCAATGCAGTGGTTAGAGAGTGCAAGAGACATGGCAGCAGCTGCAGCCGTTACCCCTGCTTACCATCATCACCATCACGCGACAGATTATTCAACAGCCTTGAGTATGGCGACAGGACACCATCATCATGGGTTGTCGTTACAGGATACTTATAAAACTATGCAAGGTAATGAAAAACAAGAAAATGAGTTGTATAAATAGTGACATTTATAAAGAACTTTGGCTGATGAGGTTTGTTTTGTCCAGGTTCGTTTGGTTTGCACCACGCGACGGCAAGTGTACCTCCGGCTACTTCACAAGCCCTGCAGACACACCAGACACCGAGTCCGAGATCTCAAAGAAGATACACAGGTAAATAGTGGGTTTACAGACTTTTCATTGGCCTTGTCCAACTGTTATGTTAATTATGACATTATGGTCTTTTAGGTCGAGCAACCTGTGATTGTCCCAACTGCCAGGAAGCAGAGCGTTTAGGGCCAGCAGCAGGTGCCCATTTACGAAAAAGAGGCGTCCACTCCTGCCACATACCAGGCTGTGGTAAAGTCTACGGCAAGACATCACATCTTAAGGCACACCTAAGGTGGCACACAGGCGAACGTCCATTTGTCTGCAACTGGCTGTTCTGCGGAAAACGATTCACCAGGTAAGACCATCAGACAACAATTAAAACCTTCAGACACCTCTCAGACTTTATGTCTACTGTCTTATTAACTTCCCGAAGGAGAAGTTTATGTTTTCATCAAAAAATCCCATACGCTAATTTTATGTTTTCTCGACGTTTCAAGAAATTCTGAATCGAATGACAACAAATTTGGATAAATAAAGATTAACATTTTTGAAAAAAAAATACTCTGAAAAAATTAGATTTTTGAGAAACAATAAATTTTTGACAAAAATTTACCTTTTTTTGAAAAAAAAAAAGACTGAAGAAAAATTTAATTTGAAATATTATGGATATTCTGAACTTTTTTTCAAAGCAATTGTACTGCTGTAACTGCATACAGACGAAATATCGAAGCGCGTAAGCGCCGCGTCGCCGTCTAACGGATAAACATTGGCACGGAACCCATAGGAATGTAAACAAAATTTATACTTATTGTTAAAATCTCTATAAAATATCTGATAATTTAATGTGCATATGTCTAATGATCATTTTTGACCGCCAAACGGCTCATTTTTTTACTTTTTCCTTTATATCCGCCAAGTCGTTGCATCTCCCTTACAAAAATTTGAACAATTCTTCATTTAGTTAATATAAATAAAATGTTTTTTGATTTATTCAAATCGGACTCTCCGTTCTCTTAAAACTAAGTTACCGTTTTCAGCACTTTTTGCCCCGTATCTTCGGAACGGCTAGACCTGCCTTCGCCAAAAACTAATCAGCACGTCTCCTTATCAATACGAATCGAATGTTTTTTGAATTATTCAAATCCGTTGATCTGTGTTCCCGAAATCGTCGACGAAAATTTGTATCCGCACATACATACACACACGCACATACACACACACAGACACACACACATACAACCATTTTTTCTAAGGTATGCCAAAATGTTCAGAAGGTTTTGAAACGTAAAGACATCTAAAAATTTTCATTTTCGATTACTATAACTATAGCCGATTTTCATGAAACTTTTTTTAGCGATATATATCATGGTCTTATAGAACTTACTGAAATATTACTGCCTTACGACAAGTAGTTTAATTTTAAAAATTCATCAATATTTGAGAAAATGAATAGTTTTTTTTGAGGTTTGTTAAAATTAAAATTAGACGATTTACTCGGTATAACGATAGAGTACTTGATTTTAATGAACATACTAAACCATTAAAGTCCTACGGAAACTGGTTCAAATATAAAAATTATTAATTTTTCAAAATTTGCTTTTAGAAAATACTCCGAGTTAACGTGTTCGTTCATTTTCAATACTTTTAATCACTCATAAATTAATTTATATTTTATTAATTAAGTCGATTATTTACACATATCGGGAAGTTCATGTAACTTGCCTCAAGGCAAAATACCAATACTAACTAGTTTTTATTGTCTATTATTTTTTAGATCCGATGAACTCCAAAGACATCTCCGTACCCACACTGGCGAAAAAAGGTTTGCCTGTCCAGTTTGCAACAAACGATTCATGAGAAGTGATCATTTAGCCAAACACGTGAAAACACATACGTCTGGTGGTTCTGGCGGTTCTGGTAATGGTTCTGGAGGTTCGGGAAAGAAGGGTTCATCCGAATCTTGTTCGGATTCTGGTGAAGAAACGAGTCAACAAGGTGCAAATCAAGGTAGCCCTCAAGGACATATACAATTGTTGGATATTAAACCGAATACAGGAGGTTTGATTTGATATTAAAAGATGGACAATGTTCGTGAGATGGAAAGTTAAGGGAAAGTGGTGTAAATAGACAAGTGATAGGTGATTGGTGATCAGAGTTTGTGTGTACATAAAACCAACAAGTTTGTGTAAGAACAATGTAGATCAAGAATTCTTCGAAGATCTTTGCACAAGTCAAAATATGTTCATGGACCACAAAGTGATAAACATTTATAATAATAAGGTGAAAAAAATAAGTGGCGCTTATAAAAAGTGTATATTTTGCAACCCGCTTAAAATCTTATCTTAAATTATCAGTTTTGTAAATAAATACTTGTAAATTTTTTTTAACATATCTCTAACTATATTTCTGGTCTGTAAGAAAAAAAGTAACTAGTTGTGTATAAAAATAAGATATCTATTTGTAAATATTTAAAGGTTCGACTCGACTCGATTGTGTTAATAATAGATTTTGTAAATATAGTGTGTAATTTTCTCTTTAGGTTAGGGAGGTAGCATTGCGTAATTTGTTTGAGATAAAAAATTGAAAATTAATTTAAAATCAATTCAAATTTTGCTTTGAATCATTCCTGTGAGTTGAATCGATTCGAATGCTTCGATTGGAATTGATAAATTTATTACGATTTAAAGAAGATTTAGAATTTGTGTGAAGAATTCATTTTTAAGTCGATTGAAATTTTGCTTCGATTCGAATTGACGTGATTTGAATGGATATGCGTTTTATTTATAAATTTTTAAGTAGATAAATTTGTGTTAAGATTCAGATTCAGATCAAGGTCTTTTATATTCGAATCGATTCAGAGTAACTTCGAATTGATCCAAATAGTATTTATTTCCATCGATTCAAATTATATTATAAAATAGTATCAGTTTGATTCGAATGCATAGGGGTGCAGAAATCTTATTTTATTAAAGAATTATCTTAAAATAGACTGAATTACATAATTTGACACACTTCGATTCAAAGATTCGAATCCATTTTAGATAAATGGAAATAACTCGAATCGAAATAGCTTTGAAATGTTTTAGCTTTTGAAATTTGAACTCTATACATTTGATATATTCCAAATTATTTATTTTCGTTGATTCAAATTTCCAATTGAATTGATTCGAGCGATAAAGTTATTTTACTAAAAGCTTAATGAAAAATAAACAAGTTCAAAATTATTGTTCCTGAATCGATTCAAACCAACTTGTAGTTCGAATCGAGACAAATTTTTGAAATAATTTGAATCGGAATGAATTGACTTAAAAATTTCTGTTTGAAAGCAATTCGAGTTGACTTGATGAATATTAACAAAATTCGTTTGATTTGAATCGGTATAAGTTTATTTGAATCGATTTGGAGATTGTATATGAACTTAAAGCTGGAAAAACAAAACTTCTCAAACAAAACACAATGCTATTTACTTTTCGGTTTGTATTTAAAAATAATGGCGCTTGAATAATTATAAATATATAAAAAATTGTAACAATGCTTGCCTGATATATTGCATTTTGGAGAATTATATATATATATATATATATATATATATATATATATAAATCCAAAAAATTAAATAATGCCATACGTGTGCTTTAAAGCTACAAGAACAAAAAAAAGAATTTTCGAAACCTCGTGAATGTATTTTGTAAAATCTATCTACTAATTAAATAAATATAAATATTATTATTATGAACTAATTAATTATTATTATTATATATAAATATAAAAAATATATTGTGTTGACAACTGCTGAAATAAATAAAAATGATATGATAAAAAACTTGTAAAGAAAAATTGAAAGAAATAAAACATGATATTGATTATTATGAAGAACATTTTGTTGTTGATAGGATTTAATTATTTGTGTTTCAGGTGGGATAGTATTTATGTCAGAGGCGTGCAATGTATGTTTATTATTGCATATAAATCCCAGATTTTAACATTGAAATTTTAAGATTGTAGTCCATTTTTTCCTTTATACCTTTTCCAGAATTTTATTGAAAATTTGGAAAAAATTAAAGCAGTGATTTTTGTTTATTACAAATTAAAATTAATTAGGTCTGGTATACGTTTTGAGTCTGCATTTGAGTCACCATCAGTCATTATAAATGCACGTATAATAAAAAAAAGTACATTTTAATAAGAATATTATTACTTTTTCGATATTTGAGATAAAATTCAATAAGACTGCTTTTGCTAGTCAGTAGATTATTTATCACTAGATTCAGTTTGCAGGTCAGTAGAGTTCTATTTATATTATTTTTAACTTTAGACCTAGTTAGCTCGTCAGTAGAGTTATATTTTATTACTTTTAACTTCAGATACAGTTTGCTGGTTAGTAGAGTTGTTTTTATTGAAATCGAGAATCAATTTCATCGTCAGTAGAGTTCTTTTTCATATATCCAACAAATAATGACTAGTATGTGTCACAATTGTTAATATAATTTTAGAAAGTTGCATTTACTGGATAGTCTTTTTTCCAACTCTAGAGTTAGTTTTCTAGTCAGAGTTCTTTTTTAGATTAATTCGAGAATTAGTTTGCCAGACAGTAGAGTCCTTTTTTGGAATGAATCTGGAACTAGTTTGCTCGTCAGTAGAGTACATTTTGAAACAAATCTAGAATCAATTTGCAATACAGTAAAGTTTTTTCTCTATTTATTTTTAGTTTGCTCGTCAGTAGAGTTCCTTTCTAACTCAACATATAAATAAAAATAATTATTATGTTAACATATGCACGTAAACTATTTATTCAAAAAAAAAATGCTTTCTTTCCTGCGATGAATACATCATTCATCATTTTAAGGATGTGGTTTTGACATGTGGTCAACGTGTTCAGTTGTATATATATATATATATATATATATATATATATATATATATATATATATATACATATTATGTTATTGTTGTTGCGGTTGAAATTAGGTTAAATGCGTATACTTAGTAGTTAATGAAAAAAGAGATTTCCTTAGAAAAGAAATGCGTGTTGGTGACTCCAAAGATGACGACATACGGCTAATAGCGTTTTAAACGGACATCGTTACAAATCGATAGTAGTCACGTATATATATATCGACATTACATATGATGATTAGTAGTCTGTCCAAAGCCAGGTCCATGGTATAAGAGCACAACAAATCAATTATACTTGTCTATTATACTCCTTATATTATATAATTATATTTATATTTGTACAAAACTACTAAGGTTTGTGTCATCTATCTTTACTATATTTGTATAAGGTATGTTGAGACCTTTTAAATGATACCCCACATGACATATTTAACGCGGAACGTTTTGGCACTGTATTTGACCCATCGCACTATACATAGTCCAGCAGCTGGAGCGTTTATTCATTAAAACTCTTGTAACTTCTAAACGACAACTGTAATGTTAATTCAATATGCGACAAATTTGTTCAAAATTAAATATTCTAAAACATTGTCTAATATTATAATTCCTTACAGCAACTGGGTATACTTTAAAATCTTATTTAAAATAAAAGCTAATATCATGTATGAAATGGCATGTATTATACGGAACTTTATTTTTGATCATGTACATCAATGACAAATTTGAATTCAGTTTGTCGGTGCTTTTCAAATGATACCCCACACGATATATTTAACGCGAAACGTTTCGACACTTTATTAGACCCATTGTACTGTATAAAGTTCGACAAGTGGTGCATTTATTTTTTAAAATTCTTGTAACTTCTAAACGCCAAGTCTGATTCAAATGCAACATATTCTATAAATTTGAACAAAAATGAATATTCTAAAACGTTGTCTATACTACGGTATACTTGAAAGTAGTGATTGCAAATAGTAAATTAATCCAAGTACGTTTTTCATGAAATTGTTAAGAAATATAAACAATTTGATTGAAATTGACATGCTTAAAAAGGAAATTGTTCGAAATAAAATAATCTACACTATTGTCTAACAGTTTGAATCCCTAGAGCAACTCCGTATACTCAAAATTATAAATCGTCAAGTGAAATCTTTGTTTCAGTTCAAATTCGTAGCTCTTGTAGATCTATAACTTGTAAACCATTCAATTAATATGAATGATGTATTTGGCAAATAAAACTTGCATAACTAACATGCTCTTTTATAATATACAAACTAGTGGTGTATGGCATCGTGCCTTAAGGCAAATTGCTGGAACTTCATGTACCGTAATGAAATATTAGAGAAATTTTAAACGTTTTCAAATATTTTATTACAAATACTGCAACTTTCATTATTTTTGTTATCTTGTTTGTTATATCTGAGCAAATCAAATGTATATCAAAATCGATTTATCTCCAGAACATTAACAATCGTCATTTCATTTCGAATTCAATTAAAAAAAAAAGTTGCATAATTTGCACAAAATTGAAAAAGTGTTGCCGTACAGTCACAGTCTAAACACACTTGCGAATAATTGTGTGCGACATTTTCACAGTCTAAACGCACTTGGGTAAACATTTGTACCAGAGTGGCGCTTTGACTGTGCTTAGCCTGGGTAATTTTTTGAATTTTTAATCCAAAATTACAAACAAATTTTTTTTTTTCAAAAGCAATTATGTTGTTGAAACAAGCAGAAAGTTCTTTGAATCATTTAAATCGGACGCTTAGTTCTCTCAAAAACTGCCGTTTTCTCAACATTTAGCTCTGTATCTCCGAAACCGCTGGGCCTACCTTTACCAAAACTAATAACCACATTTTCCCCGTCATTACGAACTGAATGTTTTTTGGATCATACAAATCGGATGATCGGTTCTCTCAAAAACTCTATTTCTATTTAACGCACTCTTTGCTCCATATCTCTGTAACGGCTGGACCTGCCTTTGCCAAAACCTAATCAGCACATCTTCCTATTAATAGGAATCGAATGTTTTTTAAACCATTCAAATCGGTTGATCCGTGCGCCCGAAGGTATAAAAAAATGTGGACATACAAAACACACACACACATCCTTTAGTTTTCTGAGGTATGCCCCTTAAAAATGTTCAGAAACCTTCAAAACGTCGAGAAATGCA